CTTAATGACATAAGCGATTTAATACTCCGACGGCAGTAACTTAGCGTATGTCTTGTTTTAAAAATTTCGAGACGAATATCCTAGCCACTCGGACAGGACGTTCTAAAAGAACTCATCTGGTACTGTGTTTTAGTTCCTTAAAATTTGCCGTTTGTGAGATAACACACGGAACCACCATAATTCTTGCAATTGCTTGCTAGTTGCCTTGGTAGTCATCTATAATAGTATGTTGTAAATTAAAAATCTTTTAAAAAACCAAGCAAAGGAGAATAGCCCTCAGAATCCTTGGACACTTCTGGATTATTATAAAAACTTAAAAAATAAAATGATCACTTTTTGTGGACATATTTTAATTTTATTAGTTATTAAAATCGTTATAGTATGGTTGAAGTTCTTAACGAAGTATGAAGTTCTCTACTCTACTCTTAATATCTGAGGGGGCTTAAACGTTTCAAACCAGAGATGGGCAAATGCTACTCTGAGCACCGAGTACCAAGTATTTTACTCAAATTGAATCACTATTTAGAACTCAATCACTAGTCCAGCTTATCCTTTGAAATCAACTGAAGTAGTATTTAAATTATTTGGTACTCAAAAAATGTGAATTTTTTGAGTAAAATACTTGGTACTCAATAAATTGGCCCATATCTGCTTCTAACCAAGGATCCTTCTGTTCTTGGCCAACCATAAACGTTTCATTGAATACAATACTTAGTGGGTTAGTATAGCTTTCTGGATTTCTTTTTATTGTTATAGCTAATAATAAGCGTTATTCATAGAACTTAGAAATATCTTAGCAAACAATTAAAATAATAATTATCAAATTTATGAAACAAATGAAAAGTTAAAACGCTTAGCCACCTTAATTATTGCAATCTCTATGCTTGACATAGAAAAATACAAATATTGGCATAAAGCTTATGACTTTATGTCGCTTACTGTTGATTGAATCATAACATGAAATTTATTTTTAGTCTAATCGAAAAATCTGTCAACTACCGGTAAAGATTACACGCGTTTTTTCTAGAGGAAAGCCATTATTTTCGTTAAGTACCTACCTGTGCCATTCGGTATCTTTCGACACATCGTTTATCAAAATTCTGCTGAGAGGAGGAAAAGAGGCTTACACTGTATGTAAAAGACTTAAAACAGAAATAACTCTGTAGAATTCATACTCTTGAAATATTGAAATTCACGTATACCTTCATTACCAATTTCTAACCATCGGAACATTACCAATTTTGTTCGGAGTAAGTGACTTACATTAAATTAGTTGTTACTCACTGAATGCAAAATTTGGTACTCTATAACTTTCAGTCTATTAATTTTTCCTCTTAGGGAACTATTTTCCAAGTTATAGGGCCATTTATAATAATTTTCTCAGTTTTTGATTGAATTTAATTTAATAATTTAAATTTCGTAAAAATCAGCGTTGGTTGACCGTCGTTTTATATCTTACCACGTAACCAAATTATAACGTTTATGTACTCGTTTGACTCAAAATTTAATGTTCTTCAATATATTAACGAGTGCATTTTTCGATTTGATGCATCGTTTAGGTGTTATATTTGAAAAAACAAAAAAAATATCGAAAAAGTCTGACTTTTTTGGCTGTAAAAAATTTTCCCTTGGTGGCCCGCGTTAACATTTTGTTTTTTTACAAGTCTAAACCCATATATGCAAGTTAAAAATATAAAAACTTTTCTTACAATTTTCTCAACGAATTTCCCGTTTCGGTCCTTAAATCACTGGCTCAATATTCTTTAAATCAGCCGCCATTTTTTAAAGCAGCGGCTCTGGAACGGCAGACGAGGTTCTTTTTACTCAGAATAACATACATTTTCGTAATTTATAATCAAACCTTCGCCGGCGATGAGGTCGATTTTTGGGCCCTGGGCCTCCAGGGCTAATACATCCGAGTCCTTGCAGGCTGAGAATCGTGGCTGGAGCGGTTTTCGACCACTATTGCCTTTTGGTTAAAATTACTGCTCTTGGTAGTCATTCAATCACTGGCTATAAATAACAGGTTATGCCATTTCTTTTTTCTCAAGTATGGATTTGTAGACATTGTTCTATAGACTGCTGGTCAAGCTTCTCGTCAACCAAGGCGATGTTTTCTCCATCCAGTTGAAAATTCCAGGCAGTAATTCCTCCTGTATGTCATCGATAGTTTCCTCAATAGTAAATCACATTCCATTAATAACTCTGTCTTCTGTAGATGAAGCATCAGATAACTTTCCATTAATTGCATACTATAATAAATAATGCAGTTAGGATTATTTTAGTGCATTTTCCCTTCTAAGAGGTATCCTGTCACTTGTAAAACAACTGCTTAAAACTTCTGAAAAATTGAAGCATTTTCCGCATGGATTGTTGAATTATGATGCAATGTAGAATAACTGGTTGTTAACCACCGCCATTTTCCAATGCTTTTGATTTGGCAGCAACGACACCTTTACTTTTTTCCTGTATTTTTTAGAGGTTAGGGTTGATATAGCGCGAGTTACGCCATTTAAAATATTGATGATCGTACATTTTTACGGGAACACTTTTTGTTATTTTTGGACGGAACCACAGTTTTGTATTTCGTTTCAATTTGGAAGAACATCAAAAAAGGGAAAACCCTGAAACGCGCGAGTGCAAGTATAGCAGTATATAAACTACAATTTTTATAATTATTCTTTTAACTGTACCGTTTTTAATTAGAGAGTTATAAAATTTCTTGGTTAAGAGACGAGTCCTGCGCCATTGTCCTTGGGCTGATGGGCACTCTAGGGTCTTCAATTCCACCATTAAACAGCAATGACAAATATATCTAAAATTATTAAAACCGACAAATTAGGAAATACATATATATTGAGGCCACGAAGGCTGTGCCTGTTAAGGACTTTCCCGCTTTAATATTCTCGTGTCTAGTGGCGCGCCGTACACGGGGACGAACGTAAGGTTCTTTGGACATCGCCTCTAACCACGGGCGGATCTACAGGGGGGGGGGGGAAGGCTTTCGGGCTGAAGCTACCCCCCCCCCTCCCAAAATGGTAAAATATAGCCATGTCTTATCGTAAAAAATATTAAAAAAGTATCTCTTAAAGTATTAATGTTTGTGCAATTACATTTAAAAGGGGTTTAGGAATCACTTAGACACCATTTCATACAGGTAGTTAGTTTCTTTCTTTTTTTCCAAAGTAATTATCGTTATTTTTATGAAAAAAACAGCTTTCGGGCTAAAGCCCCCCCCCCCCAAAATTAAATCCTGGATCCGCTAGTGCCTCTAACTTACTGGAAAATTATAGTGAACTCCTCAAATTTGGTCTGTTTATGTTTTTGAGGGTATTGAATTTGAATTCGAGCCATTTGGTCGATAAGATGTATGGTATTAAAAGCAAAATAATAAAGTTTTAATTTTTATTTTATCTTAAATTTAACTCTATAGGTAATTTTTTTCTGTTTGAAAGTTATGCGAATGCATATAAAATTATTAGTTTGAAACGGTAATAATTTGCAACTGATGCAGTCAAACTTCCAAATTTTAACTTTGTTTTTTTTTTCTTCCAATGTCCAACAACAGCGTTAGCTCGCCCAAGTTAGATTAGGTTCGGTTGTATCGCTAGAACGAACCCCCTTATGCCAGGAATATTCAGATAGGAGGTAACCGAAAAAAGATATTGATTTAACTGAAAAAAAAAAATCAAAATATAGTTTGGTTTGGTAAATAAGTGGTAAGAACATAATATCAGTAAACTTTTTGATTATCACTGATTATAAACCAGGTGACTTAGGTCTCAGTCAGTGGGTCACTGATTTCAACCTATTTTTTTAATGATGATTCTACATCGAGAAATATTGGACGTGTGTTACAACGTTCTTTCCAATGAGCCTTAGAAGTCGAAAAATATATTTCAAATAATTTCAAAAAAATTGTATTATTTTTTTTCTTTTGCTCTCTCTTATGTCATTACATAGCGATCGATTTTTTTTTTGTTTATTTTGTAATTTTATTTATTTATTTTTATTTTGAAAAAATAAACAAACAAAATCGATCGGTATTTAATGACCTAGGAGAAAGCAACAGAAAAAGAGAATAATACAATTTTTTTTGGAACCGAATATTCGGACCGAAGAACGATGAGTTACCCAGAGAGTTCAGACGGTTACACAACGCCGATTTGCGTGACCTGTAATCCGGGTAATATAATTGATGTGATTTCATTCCGGCGAATCAAATGGGCCTGTAAAATTGTTGGGCTTAGTAACGAGAGAATTCCTAAAAGGTTAATATTTGCTGTACCGAATGGTAAACGTCCGAGGGGTAGACCGAAGCGTAGGTAGGAAAATTGCTTTAAAGCCGGTCTGAAGGGACTAGGTTTGGACGGCGAACGGTGGAGGGAGGAGTGTAATAAGCGATTGGTGGTGTCGGCATCGAACCCTCGGGTTCGCTAAGCCTTTACTTATTGTTATTTATTATTAATATTGTTTTTATTTTGAAGTAGAAAAAATATTACCTATAGTAGTAAATGAGTTATAATGTGTCATAAATTACAAAAGCCAAAATTCGCTTCCGATAAAGTAAGATAGATAAATTTTTGTAATAAAAAACAAGTTGATTCATTTTTAATACCATTTAAAACTCTTAAATAAAAATTTTCATAGAAATAAAAATTACGTAGTTTAGTACTTAATCTTCTTTGAGGATTTTTACTCTGTCTTTAACTAAAGCTCTCATTATTCCTCGGAATATCCTTCGAATCCAATGTTAAGACAAACGTTAAAAAGCTGACTCACTGCTCGTCTAACTCATTATATAATAATAACGAGCTATACGTTGAAATAAATTGGAACTTTTAGCTGTAACCGCTTCGGTTATTTTTTTCTTTCGATTAATAACGAAGATACCGAGGTGTACTAGTGACTGATAGTGAAATAAGAACAGAGCTTAATGTTGAGCCCAATGTTTATTAATGGTTTATTGTTTAGATTAAGCATTTAGTTATTAGCGCGTGATGTTTGCATCTTCACGCTCGTTGGTTCTCCTGTTGAGATGGCTGTCGGTTGCCTTCGGTGCACCAACAGCTTTACAATATTCTCTGTTCTCACCTTCCAATATACTCTTTTACACCTTTCGTTATTCGTCTGCTAGGTATTGTTAATATTTTAATATACGATTAATATAAATTTATTTTAAGTAAGAGTGCCATTTTTGTAAATTTATTTTATTTTTTTATCTTGCATAGCAATTCAGGAAACAGGTCTGAAACATCTGCTACTTATCGAGTTGTTTTTTTCATAAATATTAATGACGAAGGTGAACTAAGAACTCTTAAATATGGGTTGGATTAATTAATGTATTATTCAGGATCAACGCAATGGAAAGTTGAAATAGTTATATTCAACAAAAAAAAAAAAAATATATTTAAAAATTGTTTGTTTTTTTTATAAAAAGATAAAAATCATAACAAAATAAAATAATAACAATGCACTGTTTCAGTATTGTTAAAATTGCAGACGAACAAAACACAAAACATTACTTCATTATCACTATAGAATTTCCTAGTCAATGTTTCCAAATTAAATTCTACTGTTTTCTATACAAATTTAATATTTTTCAATTATATTCAACCTTTTTTATTAATTCAACTTTCAAATTATGAAAATTGATTTTTGAAAAAAATTAGAATATTTATGATACTTAATATATGGTATATTGAAAAATTTCGAAAAGTGGAAATAAATTAGAAGTGTGATTTAAAATTAATTTAGTTTGGAAATGGTGTGATTTGACTTGGAATAAATTTAATTCTATTTGCAAAAAATAAAATGTGAAATATGATTTGGAAATGCTGCATACACGTATACAGAAAACTAAATTCATTTCCATTTTTCGAAATTTTTCAATATACGATTTAGTAAGTATCATAAATATTCTAAAATTTTCGATAAGTTGACGTCATTTAAAAGTTGAATTTGAAGTAAAAACGCTGCAAATTATTTCACAATGGTTTATTATTTCCAAACAATGAACATCTAAAGTAACATTACCTTCCTAGTGACAAAGAAAAAGAAATAAAAGGTGATTCCAATGATTGGACTAAACATTTTTTTTTTTTAATCATTAGTAATATGGTAAAAAAAACATAAGCATTACTTCAGTAACACATTCAAAAATCAAAAACCTAAACAAAGGATATAAACTTTGCATTATAACATATTAAAAACATCTAGAGACCGCATCTTTGCTCCTAATTGTTCGATTTCAACGATTTCTTTTTTGTTTTTTTAGGAAATTCCGTAATCTTTTAAATAACCATATTAAACTCGCAATATATTTACTAATTGTGCTTTGATTTTGATGAAACTTTGTTCATTTATTAGGAATGAATCACAATAGTGAATTCTTAAAAATAATAAACCAAAAGGTTGAATATAATTGAAAGATATTAAATTTATATAGAAAACAGTAGAATTTAATTTGTAAATCTTTGACTAGGAAATGCTATAATGATATTGGAACAATACATTGTTATTATTTTATTTGTTATGATTTTTATTATTTTACAACAAAAGAAAAAACAATTTTTAAATAGTCATTTTTTTTTTTTATTAAATATAATTATTTTAACTTTCCATTGCGTTAATCCTGAATAATACATTAATTAATTCAACCCATATTTAAGAGTAAGTTGTTCACCTTCCTTATTAATATTTAGTTCCGTTTTAGCACTATTGTCAACTATTAAAAACATTAATCATTTCTGGGCTAAAATTAACACGCACACACACACATATATATACACACAATAGTTTAAAAACCGAACTTTAAAATAGTAAAAATTTGATGTCGAATTTTTTTTACATAAATTACACCTGACAAATAATATACGTTGTAGATGGGTTGTCATTAAGTAAAAGAACAAAAATATTTTTAGTTAGGTATTAAAATAAAACATTGAAGTTACTTCAAATGGAATTTTCATTTCAGAAATAAACTTTTATTTTTATTATTTTAATTTATATATTATATTATTATATTTTATTTTACCAATTTCGTTTTTTCTAAATAGTCAATTAGTTTATTATGTATAAAAACCTTTACAGCAGAAATAAACACTCGGGTTTTGGGGTCGACATGTTTTTTTATATAAATAAAAAAAAATTCTCCACAGTTTTAAACAAGAAAATGGTAAACTACAGATGAATAAATTTAAAAAATCAAACCTATCTCCTAAATAAGAGCGATTAGGAAAGCCCCCCTGAGTGTTCTAGCATTAAATCTAATCGTATTTGCACTCTCTATTGAGCGTACAAAGCTTACTACATGTTAATGATTTGAAAACGGTCTTACTGGTACAGTGTCTATTAATGGTATATTTACCCTAAATACATAACAAAAAAACTCCATCACTGCTGTTGCTCCTAAAGGTATTGTCTTAGAGGTTTCGATCTGAAAAGCCTTCAAGCGGATTTGTGTTGCATATCTTTGATGTTATTTCAGCGAACATCACTGAAGACGGTTGGCTATATGGCAAAAGGACTGGTAGTTTAGTGCTTCATCGCTGTTAACGACCGGACCAATTGATTTGTGCTTCGCCGCAATACACTCGATTCGTCTTAGACACAAGTTTCACAAAATTCTCCCACATTTATCAAGAGTAAAATATTTTCATAAACCCAAGGCGACGATTCTTTGATTTATTGTTTATCTGATTATGAGTTATCCGTTGTACATATACGTAATTACAGGGTGTCGTGTAATTATGAGGAAATATTTAAATGGGTAATAACTGTCCTTAGGAGCTACAAAATAATGGTCCTCAGAAAAGTAGGAAATTCGAGATTTGTGTTTTTGATGACTGAACAAATACTTAATTCAAGTAATTAAAAATTTCTCCACAATAAACGAGACCAAATTTGCTTCAAATGAAAGTAGATTTCGTCATCAGTAAAACCATTTAAAGAAGACCTTTGAGAGCTAAACAAAAAGTGACCGGTTAAATGTTCCTAATCTTTATATTTATGTTTTCATGAAAATAATTAAAGCAATCAGCAGGTTTACTTATCTTAAACGTAATTATTAGGAGTAGAAAAATTCAGTTGGTCGCTTATATGTACGAAACAATGTCTATAATAGATATTTTGATAAAAAAAACACAGTTACATTATCACTTAAGATAATAAATATTCAAATAATCATCATTTTACCTTATTTCATGAATAAAAAGTATTCATTCATTCATTATTCATTAGTTATTTGGGCTCAGTTGACCTCAAAACGTGTATTTCCGTTAAAAACTGGCATTCGAAAATTAGCACGATCGCTATACTTTCCTTTACTATATATTTCATATATAGGTAACTGAAAGTAAAAATAATTTACCATGTTTTAAAAATAGAATTTAGTTTTGTATAACCACTCGAATGTCCTCTTTAAATGGTCTTACGAATGACAAACTCCACTTCCTTTTGAAACAAATTTTGTCTAGTTTACTGTACTGTAATTGGTAATCGGTTAAATGAAGTATTATTTATATTCTTCCTATACTCTTAAAAAAACGAGGCTTTCTTACAATACCCAAAACTTCAATTTCTTATTTTTCTGCTGAAAATTGGACCATTGCTGATATGAACCCTTTTAAATATTTCCCTCTACTTACGGGACATCCTGTATATTTCATAGACTGTTAAATGAAACATATTCCTTTCCTTGTTAACTTTCGGTTTATTGAATAAATTAACAACTATAATTTGACGACATTTTGACTCCTTACATTCATATTTTCATATTCTTGCCTTACAATAAAAGAAAGACAAACAAATTTGTAGAGAATTTTCAGAAAATACTTATTACCGAATCAGAAATTGCACACTGCAAAACCATGAGATACGGCAAAGCGAGATAGCTTCCAGTACTATCTTACTTCACTCTGTTCTCACCCAGTCTAAAATTAAAACTTGCAAGACATAGATTTGAAGTTACTGAATCATTCCCAATAAAGTCCTTTTTAGAAACAACTGGTCCAAAATTCAACTCATTCTCCTTTGCTGAGGAGTTTGTGAATATCTAACGAGAGAGCATGTTAAACCCTAAAAACTTTATCAGTACATTCTAGTGTTGCCCAAATGCGGGACCAAGACGAGTCTTGGTCTTGTAAACTCAATCTTGGTGTAAGTCTTGGTCTTGCGCAAGACTCTCGTAACATTCTTGCAGTTACCTATTAGCTTATTACTAGAGAGATATCACCGTATTTTTTTAGATATGAGAAACCCAACTAAGTCTGAATGAAAAAGTATTTTGGTTACACCAATTATTTACGTATAGTAACTAAAATTGTCAAGTATTAGTAACTATTTTGCCTCAATTTTTATTCTAAAAATCGATTTTTTTTTTTTACCAGTCTTCCTCTTGGTCTTGCAGCAGATAGGTAGTGTTGGTCTTGGTCTTGCAAAGTGTAAAACCAAGACCGATTTTGGCCAACACTAGTACAAACAGGTTTTATTTGCTATATTATAATTATTATTTAATTTGATTGATTAACATTTAATATGTGTTAAATGTTATTAATTTGAGTTATCGCTTGTTATTATCGAGACAATCTATAAGGCTGCTTGAAAGATAAGGAATCATAAATAGTACAGGATATGCATGACGTCATAGGAAGTTTAGCCAAGCTTGGAAGTGTTTGATAGTGAAATTTGCCCATATTATATTTACAATATGAAGATATTCATTATTTAGCTATTACTCGGTATTCAGTCGAATACAAATTTTATCCTAAAAAAATGTCTTCTGACATTCGAGTTTGTTATTCAAAACTCATCAAAAGTAGAACTTAGTTTAAAGCATTTTTTTCATGAAAATTTTACTTATGTTAATATATTTACTTACGTAATTGTAGAATGGTTGAATAATGAATATGTTCATATAATTATGGCAGTGCCAAATATTAAAGCTTATATGATGAATCCCTTTTTGAACCTAATGCCTGAATGCCATTCTTATATATTTTTTTCAAATGCCATCAAAATATTTTTGCTCGTTGAGAACTCAATCCATTAACTTCAATTTCTTTGCAACCAAAAGTATGTTCAAATATAACGAAAGGGACAAACCACACTCCACAATTTGAATCAGAGATTTAAGAAAATATATTTATGATAGTTTTATTTTTTTATTGCCTTCAAATCTGTCCTTTTCCTTTTATTATTATCATCGGAATGAGGCAAAATTCATCTTTCCAAAGGTATGAAAACATATGAATTTTGGTCCATTCTATAGAAGTTATAAATGTTCGAACTTAACCTGAGGAAATTTGCAAACGAATTCATCACCTCCGTCATGCAAAAAAAAAAAGTTTTTTTGTGTTTCTTGAAAATTTTTGAGAGATACCTCTTTTTAAAAAATACTTTTTCAAAAATAATGTAGCTAAACCGAAAGTAACATTCAGTCAAACTTTGTATGGTCAAACTTGCTCTTTAGCATAAAAGCATTGCTATGTTTCATTTTTAAATTATTTATTTATTAAAAGTTATATGTGTGAATTATTTTTATAAAATTTATTACATTTATTTACACAAAGAAGGTAAGCGGGGTAGCTCAATGAGTAAGACATTGTGCTCTTATACTCCCGTATCCCCAGATCTCTAGAGACATATCACTTACAAACAGTACTTCTTTAAGAATTACTTAACTCCATAAATTACTCCATAAATTCATGGGTTGTAGTAATACAGGTTTATATATAATGTTACAATTATATTTCATGTATCTATTCTTTAAATCATTTGGTACTTGTCTTGTTTTTTTATTGTCTAGAAGACCTCTAACTATATGTTGAAGATCAGAAAGAAACAAGATACAATTTTGTGTTACCTGTTGAACGAAACCAAACGGCAATAACCAATGAATATACATGAGCTTTTAGGAATACCGTTGGAATGGGAAACAAAAACATTTAACTCAGCCTATGGGAATTTGTTTATTATTCCATGTTGTCTGAACTGTATATTTTAGTATGTGATATTATACATGTATGTTATGTATATATATGTATATGACATGTATATGTACATTATATTACATGTGTATGTATAATGAAGGCGAAACAAGCATTTATACAGTTTATATTATATTTATACAGTTAATATTTTTTTTCATCTTTAATTATAGATGTCATTTACAACATTAATTAAATATAGGTATCGTTTATTTTCCTTATTAATATATACTTACTATATTAATTTATAACATAGCCGATTTATTGCAAAACGTCACTTAGTCAAATTGTATAAAATTAAATCACTGATTGATTTTCCTCTGTGGAATTGGAACATGATGCACGTATCTTATATTTTTTTTCCTCTCAACAGGATTAGTGTTATTTACTTTTTTCATTGATAAATATGATCGAAATTTACAAATTTGAATTATAAGTTTAGGTCTATCAAAAGTAGACTTTTTATAATAAACCGAAGATATGAAGAAATATTTAGAATTCGATATATGTTTGTGTTAATAATGATTAGCTAGAAGAATTTTAAATTTTAAAGCAACAAACATTGACTGATTTTTTGTTTTTGTTTTTAGAAGCTCCAAAGCAGAAAAATGAAACTCCAAAAACAACAGCTCATGATTCTCCAAACAAAGGAAACGTAAGTAACTAACTACTATCATTAAATATATTGATTTTTAAATTTGATTTTTCGATTTCAAAGTCGTTATCCTGATCTTAACCCTTGGTTTTATATTTATCAAAAGCATTTTATCACGAATAATCCTGATTAAATTAGCGAATCGAACGTACTTCATTATTCCACGGTAATTTGTTTGGTGTACTTGACAATCGAACATTACTAAAACAAATTAAACTTCAATAGAGCGAAATTTAGCTTTATTTTTAGTTAAGTAGTTGACTTATTTTTTAAAAAAAATCGTTAAAATTGATTTTAAATAATAATAATAAAGACTCAGTGAACCGAAGGTTCGATGCCGATATCATCAATCGCTATTTTCATACTTCTATCCTCCGACACCCGCAAGATCAGTATTAGCGGATTCCTCCCACTTTCGCTTCCGTCAATTCCTCGACCCCTTCCAGTGCAAATTAACATTTTAGGAATTTGATTGTCACTAAAGGACAACTAGGGCGTACGGGACCTTGTCCCGCGAAGCGGCGTGCTGGCCGGGGTGATGCCCCTGGGCTTCGTCCTCCAGGAGGACGCATGGAGGTTTGACTTAAAGAGGCATGAGCTGATGGCTCTCACAGATCCGCTGCAGTGGAGAGTCCGTGAGGATCTTGGAACAGCGTAGTCAGAAAGGCGACGATAGAGGATTGGAATGAGCCGTGAGTTGTGAGTGAAAAGAGAGCCACATTGAGGAGGTACTTTTCTACATTCTATGTTCAATCCAGATTGAAAGCACACTGGGTTGTGCCGCACTACTGGACCTCGCAGATCCTGACGGACATTGGGGTTTAAAAACGAACTCAGGAAGCATGTGAAGATCATCGACCTCTGTGTATAGATTTCGGTGCCCCTGATACGGCCTCGCATGTTGTGATAACTTACACCGCGATGGAATAATACAGAGCTAGTCTGATAAGGACTATACGCCCTAGGAGAAGAGGACCTTCTCCGACTGATGGAAGAGGAAACTTCGTGGAGTTCGTGGGAGAATGAAAACAGAAGGTGGAGCTCACGCACTTCACGATAGGGAGCGTCTACCAGCGACCCCGGAGGAAGAGGACCAACAGACGCCGCTAGAAGAGGACCAAACTGGAGGCAGCAATCCAGGAGGGCTTGATGCGCAACCAGCAGCAGATTAAGGTGCGGTTCCGGCCGTAAGGTGCACAGATGTCGCGGCTTGAATCTTTTTTGCTTCCAAATTAAATATCCAAAGAATAGTTGAATAATTAAAAAAAATAATAATAAAGAGTTTTATTGGCATCCTGAAGCCTCGATGACTGAGTGTGTTGCGCTCTTTAACATTCTCGGGTCTAGCAGCACCGGTTGAATCAGAATAGATTTAGTTACACCTCTAGAACAAACCTCCCTTCCCGTATACCAGAAATGGCGAGGTAGGTTACCAAAAAAAAAAAAGTTCTTACAATCCGTGAACATCAATTAAAGCTTGCCAAAGATATATGTTTTTTATATTTTATTTACTTACATATGTAATAGTTGACAAGTAAAATGGATCACCAGAAAAAAAAAACAGGCAATCCGACGTTGTGTAACCGACTAATTTCTCCGGTTACTCGTCGGTCCAAATATTTTACACAATATCACTATATTTAAAAAAAAAAACAGTAATTCATTCCTTAATTTAAGCGGCTGCTTTTCGTATGCTTAAAGAATCATAGAAAATATATGTAAAATAAATTAATTCACAAAAATATTTAAAGTTTAATGATTAAAAAAAAATGTTCACTCACCAATAAATGCAGCAGATCTGGGTAATGAACACGATGAACCAAAGGCGGATGAACGAGGGAGGAAAGGGCTTTCGGGCTGAAGCCTCCCCCTCAAAATGGTAAAATGTAATCATATTACATTTATGGTAAAAAATATTTCTTAAAGTATTATTGCTCGTTTAATTACATTTAATAGGACTTCAAGTATCACTTAAATACCATGTCGTATAGGTAGTTAGTATTTTTCTGTTTTCCAAGATAATTATCGTTATATATATGAAAAAAAAAAGCTTCCTGTCTGAAGCCCCCTCCCTCCCAAAATTAAATTCTGGATCCGCTAGTGCGATGAACCAGAAAGTTTTCTAATATTTAACAAATTCCATTCCAAATGAGCTCATAGGCAATAACTACATGTTAATTGATCATTTGATTAATTGATCCTTGATTCTTTCTGAATCGGAAGTAACTAGGATCATTCCTTCTAAGGCTAAATGAAACGAACTCTTCTAACTTCAGTCCCTTAAATTCAAAATATCCATCCAACAATCGTCGGCTCTTCTTGTCAGTTGATTTTCAGTCTATTCCAGATAAAGTTCTGAAGCGTTCGAACAGAAGAGCAGTAAACAAACTCACATGCATATGAACTTGACTTTGATTATTTACACGTTAAATATATCAATAGGCCCCTTTTACGTACTATTTCGATATGAATTCAAATAAGGTAAAATTGAGCACTGAACTTTCGTTATCACGTAAATTGGATTGTATATAGAGAAACGAGAACTATCACTGAGATCGCCTTTTTACAATTATCAGGATTTCCCTTTATTATTTTATTTTTATTTTAGGTTTGTCAGTGATTTCATCTCAGGATTTGTTTTTTCTCGTTAAACACTCTTAATATCATCATCAATCCACATATTCGGATCCTCAGTTGACCTCGTTACTGACATGTTGTCGACAGTTCCTCCACAGCTTCTAACTTCATGAAATATTGCACCACTACAGCTCCGACGCGACTAGCTACCGATCAGCGACGAAGCGAGTGAAGAGGACACGTTCATTCCTCTTCTTGAAAGATGAACGGAATTCCTGAGTCAACTGACACAGCTGTTCTCTTGTTTACACATGGCCTCGGCACGCACCGTCTTGTCAACTCTTGCTATTTCCCGTTTAATATTTCTAGCACTCCAACATTGTCTTTAATTCTATAAAACTATGATTAGCTTTAAGGGTATCAGCTGTAAGCTTTCCTTCAAGATAGTCTTAGGCACTAGCGGATCCTTAATTTAATTTGGAGGAGGGCTTCAGCACGAAGTATATTTTTTTATATATATACTAGTAGGCCCGTTCGAAAAATTCGCACAGCATATTGTTATCAAATGCCAGATTAATAAAAAAATAAAATAATGCAATGTATCAAAAGATTAAGAAATCAAATGTTACTCTATCGATAAACATAATCGACAAATAAAACAAAAATTAATTTAAATCTTCATTTTTGTTTGGAACCAACATGTTTACAAATTTCAGTAAGCTGCATCTTTGCTAAAAAAATGTCCGATTTCCATAATTTTTTTTTCATTGTGTAGAGAATTTAGTAAGCTTTTATATAATCACGGGCATAACCAAGGGAAAAGTGTGTAATTTTTAGATAATTAATTGACTAATTAATTAATTAATTAACGACAATTAATTTGGGGAAAATAAAGAATTTAACTTTCATTTTAAATTTCAATTTTCAATCCCCGCCCACATCCCCTGGCCCGGAAAAACCCCGTATAGCCTTAACGGCGAGGAAGGGGAAGACTACAAAAAAATGAAATGGTGTTTATGTGATTCTTAATAAAAAGTCCTATTAAATGTAATTACATGAACAATAGTACTTTAAGAGATAGTTTATGATGTTTTTTTCTATAAAACATGGTTATATTTTACCGATTTGGAGGGGAGAGGGGAAGGAGGACTTCAGCCCGAAAGCTCTTCCCCTCCCCCCGTAGATCCACCTGTAGTCTTCGGGCTCCTTTCCCGAAAGTAAAAGTTAATTTTTTCATTGGTTCGTATTTATTTCTACTGGTTATACGTGATATTTACTTAAGCAATCACACTATGTTCTCTTTTTTAATTTTAACTCATTTACTAAAGCTACTAAATGTAACGAACAACGTGTCAGCAAAGAATATATAATTTTATTCCTAAAAGCATTATTCTTGTCATTACTGTTCCCTGTTAAAATATCCCCTCACCAAAATTAAATCCTAGCATCCAAGAGCAATTAACTTTATGTATTTATAATTTTGTATATAGTGTTATTTGAGTTATATTTTGTTATTGGCAAAAACAATATCAATTAGTTTACATTATATATCAACCTTTGTTGTCCATCTGATCTACATAAAAATAATGTTTATTGTATTTTTTATTAATTGTACGTTTCGGACAAATAATCAGTCATTGACCACACTTAATTGAGGCTTTCAGTTGAGAGAATGACTAACTCCAATTTCAACATTTTATTTAATTTTAGTGATATTTCTAGTGGGAAAATTTGTACCTTTATTCAAAGTTCCATATTTCAACACTGCGATCATCTACTCTAGAATCAACTTACTCACTGCCTGTATATCATAAATTTTCCGAATCGAAACATCACTAAAATGATTTTACTAAAAAATGTTGAAATTGGAGTTAGTCATTCTGTCAACTGAAGGGCTCAATTGTGCTTACCCAAAAATGCTGGGGTGTATTATATAATGAAGATGGAGACTAAATAATCCTTGCGATAAACAGATATTAAGAAAAGAAACTATGGACATTATTGATTTTTAATGTTGACATGTGGGCAAGGTGATAGAAGAAATAAAATATATGAAACAAACTCATTATTTTCTACTTTTTTGATAAAATAATATAAGAATGCTTAGGTATTTAATTTTTAATAATTATCTAAATCCACTCCTAAAAATCTGGTGTGTCCAGTCACACGACTTTCCTACCTATTTCAGAAAAGTTTTTATATCTTAACATATCTCCATCAAGAAACAAAAAAAAAAATTGAATTAGATTTGTTTTCCTGAAAATTGATCAAAGAAAAGATTTGAGTACGATTTATTTGATAAACTAAAGCAATGTAAACCCCCTTAAGGTAGGTCAGTGCAAAAATTTTGTATAGATCCATCGAATTCGGAATATCGGAAATTTGGCCCGATCATATTACTTTCCTTAACTAGTATAGGTAGG